CAAAAACCACAGGAAAACTACTTATTTAAAAATAATTTTGGGGGCTGGAAAGGTGGCTCAGTGGTAGAGTGCTTGCCTTGCATGCATGAGGCCCTGGGTTGGATTCCTCAGCACCACTTAAGCAGAAAAAGCTGAAAGTGGCGCTGTGGCTCAAGTGGTAGAGCGCTAGCCTTGAGCTGAAGAGCTGAGGGACAGCGCCCAGGCCCAGAGTTCAGGCCCCATGACCGGACCCCCCCCCAAAAAAAAAAAATTTTTTTTTTTGGCTGGGAATGTGGTTTAGTGGTAGAGTGCTTGCCTAGCACGCATGAGGCCCTGGGTTCAATTCCTCAGCACCACATACACAGAAAAAGCTGGAAGTGGTGCTGTGGCTCAAGTGGTAGAGCACTAGCCTTGAGCAAAAGCAGCTCAGGCCCTGAGTTCAAGCCCTAGGACAGGCAAAAAAAAAAAAAAAAAATCAACAATAGAAACATTATCACAGACCGGCCACCCCCAAACACACACAAGGCACAGATATCAGCAACACCACTAATAAGTATAATCTATGCATAATCATCTCTACAGGGTGGGATTGAGATCACTGGTTTGTTACAGCCATGGTGTCAGAAATAAAAAATAATCTAAACCAGGAAACACCTCCTCTGCACAGCTCTCTCCTGAGCCAGGAGGTCCTGGGCGGAGGCCCGGCCGGGGCAGCCTTCTGGCTAGAAGGTCTCTGGGCTTTCCACTGAGGCTCTCTTGCCTTTCCAGTAACAGCCTGGACTCCAGACACTGCCAGGGTGTTGACTGGGCAACCCAGTTAGCTGTGCTGTGCGCAGGAGCCCTGCTTATGGGTGTGTTGGGAATGGGTAATTCCCAGGATCCACATTCCCAGCCCGAGGGGCCAGAGGGCCTCAGAGCCAAAGTGCCTGCCTTGAACTGCCCCTCCCCCTCCTCAAGGCAGGGGTCAGGCTCAGACTCTAGGAACTGCACCCTCGCCCCTGAGCCTGCTCAGTATTCTTTCCTCCCTAAAGATGCCACCCCACCGCACTGCTCTTTCCACCAGACCCGGCTTCAGGATGACATGCTCCATCTGTCCTTCCTTCTGATGGAGAGCAGGATGACCCTCGGGACGGAACACCCAGGTAGGATAGAGGAGGAACCCCTCCCCACTGGGGAGAACACAGGGCTCGAAGGCCACAGCCTTCAGCTGAGGCAGCATCCGTGAAGCTGCTGAACGCAGGACATTTGCAGTACAAGCACACCGGGGTAGTGGAGGCTGTGGCCCCAGGAGGTAAAGAAGAGTCTCTCAAGGCCTCTGAGGGAGGCAGAGGCTTCCCCGTCCAGCAGGAGTCCCAGGGATAGTGGAGGAGTCACCTGTCACCATTCCATACCACTCGGCTTGTCTCCCAAACTTCAAAAATTAAGAAAGCATGGTTTCAGGTTGGGTACCATGGTGTACACCTATAGTCCCTGCTACTCAGGAGGCTGAGGTAGGAGGATGCCTTGAGCCCATTAGTTTGAATCTAGCCTGTGCTACACACATAGCAAAACCCTGCCTAAACAAAAAACAATTCTCAAACTTGTTTTTTCATTTACAGTTGCATTCCCACCACCTTTTTTTTTTTGGGGGGGGGGGGGTACGGTCATGGGGCCTGAACTCTGGGCCTGGGCGCTGTCCCTCAGCTCTTCAGCTCAAGGCTAGCACTCTACCACTTGAGCCACAGCTCCACTTCCAGCTTTTTTCTTTTTGCTTATGTGGTGCTGAGGAATCGAACCCAGGGCCTCATGCATGCAAGGCAAGCGCTCTTCCACTGAGCCAACTTCCCAGCCCCCACCTTTTTTAAAAAAAATATTATAAGCACTTTTAATTCCATTCTTTCAGCCTTTAAGATTGGACCGAGAACCACCTAACTTACAAAAAGTTTCACCACCATGGATTATGAATTTAAAAGAATGAGGTTAAGAGCTAGGTGTGGTGGCCCATGCATATAATCCAGTCACTTGGGAAGCAGATAGGAGGATCACAATTCAAGCCCAGCAAATTAGTGAGACCCTATCTCAAAAACAAGCTGGGTGCAATGAAGCACACTGTGGTCCAACTATGCAGGAGAGGAGGCGATAGGAGGATCGGGGTCCGTGGTCCAAGGTCCAAGGCTAGCTGTAGGCAAAAAAAATGTAAGACCCTATTTGGGAAAAAAAGCAGAAGAGGCTGGAAACCTGACTCCAGTGGCAATGTACCTAACTGCTAAGCTTGAGGCCCCTGGGTACAAATCCCAGTAGTGTCAGAAAAACAAGAACATTATTATTTTTTTGGGGGGGGGGGTCTGGTCGTGGGGCCTGAACTCTGGGCCTGGGCACTGTCCCTCAGCTCTTCAGCTCAAGGCTAGCGCTCTACCACTTGAGCCACAGCACCACTTCCAGCTTTTTTCTTTTTTGCTTATGTGGTGCTGAGGAATCGAACCCAGGGCCTCAGGCATGCAAGGCAAGCGCTCTACCACTGGGCCACCTTCTCAGCCCCAAACAAGAACACTATTAAGCAATCTTTTAGGTGTGAGTGTGGAAGGCAAGAAGGCGAGAGATGCCTCCATGAATACAGTGTGCCAAAGCTCTTCCATCTGCCTCCTCTCTCTGAAAGTGACACTCCCAGGCAGGGCCATTTTCTGGACGGGTGCTGGTTGCATGTAGATCGGGGCAGGCCTAGTGCTGCATGTGGCCACGCTCATGGGCAGCCCACCTATGTAATAAACCACATGATGACTGCGCTGAAATCAGTCACCAAGGACACACACACATCCAACGCACACACGCACAGGGCACAGCACACATGTACAAACAGGTAGAGCAGCCACCTGCCTGGCACGCAGATGGGCTCCTTGTTCATTCAGCCCCACCCCTTGAAGGCATTTCCAGAATTTAGGTTACTACCCTTGGCAGTCTTCCTCTGCTGCGGGTAACGTTGACGGCGTGTGACCTGTTTGTCAGTGATTTGAGTTCCATGAGCCTCTGTCCCCACTGATGCCTTTTCCCTTTGGTTTGGGTGGGACAGCCAGCCACTGCCGTGACTGTGGGCAGCGGTAGGGTGGGGTGGTGTGGGGAACCCTGCTTCACCCTCACCCCTGAGCCTCCACAATAAGATCCAGGGGGCAGAGGGGGCCTGGATGGCTTTAAGACAGTGCTGGGATTCAGGAAACTTCGTTAAGGGCAGGTGAGGAGTCCCGTCAGCCTGCAGGGTGCATGGTCTCGGCTCATGGGGCTGTTGCAGTCTTGCAGGAAGCAGCCCCAAGCAATCCTCCCAGACTCCCCACCACCTCCAGAAACAGGAAGGGGCGTGAGGCCAGGGGATTGGCCTCCCCAAGTCCTGTGGATTTGGGACTGTATGAACGATTGTGTGCTTTTTTTTTTCCCTGAATAAAAGGACCTTTAAGAGGACTTAACTGTCCCGCAAATGTGAGTCTCAGGGCCTCCCAAGGCTTTAGGGCCTTGAGAAAGCAGGTGATCCTGGAGTTGGGGGGTAGAGAGGAACAGAATGGGGGGGGGGGAGAGGCAGGAGCTGGAGGGCTGGGACTGTGGGGCTGGGATTGGGGGGTGGCGGCCCGGCCTCCATTACAAAGAGTTGCAACTTTCCCAGGGTGCAGCAGCTCAAAGCCCGGTCTTCTCTTTTCTCAGACATTTGAAAGCAAGGCTTGTCCAACTAGATTAGAAAAGGATATGAGGACACGCGCCCCACACTTTAAAGCCCTGTTGTGAAAAGAAGACACAAAACCTGTTTGGTGACTTGTCACTGGGGAGGGAGAACGCTCCCCCGTGCTCCCCTTCCCCCTTTCCTCCTCCCAGCCAGCGCGGGACAAGAAGAAATAGCCACTATGTTCATCCTGAGGACACCATTACTGCCTGACACCAGGTAGCAATTCAGGGACAAAAAGAAAGTTTATTACTCGTGACATGTCACAGCAATAAAACAAAGACTTCATTATGCACGGGCAGGAGGCACACCATTTTTGATAAGGCTAAATTGTTATACTTATCTTCTTCCTCTTTAATAATCATTAAAGAATGGATTTCTTAGCTCACCTGCAGAGAAAACGTCACCACTGAACCCCGAGGAAGCCAGATCCTTGCAGAGCGCTAGGGGGGGTTACAAAGGTCCCTTTCTGAGATGGTCTGGATCAGGTCGGTGCTGAGGGAACTCCCGCCAAGCTGATCATGAAAGTGGGTTCTCCATGGAGACCTGCGCAGTGCTGCCCACCCCAACTCAGCCAAGAAGCCCAGCTGGTCTTGGAAGTCAACTGGGAAATCAGTTGGAAGTCAAGCTGTGCTGTGTGGCACTGCGGAGCTCAGCTCTTTCCTGGGCCACCTTCCTTCAGGCAGCTCTCTCAGGGAGGGAAAATCAAGTGAAGCTGTGCGGCTCAAGTGGCAAAAAGAAGCACAAGGTCAGCGCCCAGGCCCGGAGTTTAAACCCCAGGACAGGTGCAAAAAATAAAATACAAAATAAAGAAAGAGAGCTTCCTAAAACTGGCGAGCATCACCTGAAAAGAGTCTGGGATTCATCTTTCCTTTTCATTACAATCTTGCTGTGCAGTATGGTCCTTTGAGTTACCTTGAGCCACACGGCCTTCAAGGACACCCAGGGCATGGAATGACAGGCGGACTCCCGTCCTTCAGCAAACTCAACTGTGCGGTAACTGCATACACACATGCAGGACAAGGCCTCCTAACTATCAAGAAACGCCAACACAACCAGAAAATAATCCAGAATACATAGAAAGTATGAATAAATAGGAATAGACCTAACCATTTAAAAGAAAACAATGGGGATGGAAATGTGGCTTAAGGGTAGAGTGTTTGCCTACCATGCATGAAGCCCTGGGTTCGATTCCTCAGCACCACAAAAACAGAAAAAGCTGGAAGTGGCGCTGTGGCTCAAATGGGAGAGTGCTTGCCTTGAGCAAAAAGAGGCTCAAGGACAGTGCCCAGGCCCTGAGTTCAAGCCCCAGGACAGGCAAAATAATAATAATAATAATAATAATAAAAGAAGAAAAGAAAACAATTGAAAATGTATTGTATGATGTAAAACCCAGGTTGAAATATGCAAGATAAAATTCAAAATTTGTTTTTTTCAAAAATGTCTTAAGAGTAGATATGCTAATATAGTCACGTTCACAATAAAATCATGGGACATGATAAAAAGAGTCTTCATATATCAAGAATACTTAAAATGTCTGCCTAAAGCAAGACCGTCAATTATTAAAACACTGTGGAAGGCATCTCACTTCATAAAAAAGGAAACATGCATGAAATCCTTTAAACAAATCCAACAGACACTGAAGTAAAATTTTTTAAAAGAAGTACTTTGAAAAGCTGTAAGAGTAAAGCACCTAGTTACGATCACAAATGAGAGATTAGTTCATCAGAAACAGTCCAACGAGGGCTGGATGAGACACAAAATACTGTGGTTCTAAGAAAAGCAACTGGCATCATTCATTTTGTGAAACTTACAAGGCAAATGGAATACTATGAATAAATCCTTCACAGCACATTTAGAAGTTTGAATTTCAGTTAATACTCAACAGGAAAGAAACCGGCTCTGTCTCAGGGCTGGCAGGGACCAGCAGAAGGGTGTGGCTCTCCAGGGCTGCCCTTCCCTGAATATTTTTAGAGATTTAGGACTCCAGCCTTCAATAGTTGTGATAGTAATACCTGTGGCCAGTACTCAGCCTGTAGGAGACGGTCTGGGACTACAAGAGTTCTTTTCAGGCTGGGGCCCTGACTTCTCCAATCTTTTCTCCCTTTACAAATGGATTCTAAGCTGTGCTCCCACAGGAGGACTTTGAGAAGCTTTTGTTTCCCTCCTGCCCAGTATCTGCTTCGGGATGCACAAAACCAAAATGTGGTGATCTTGGGTGAAAAAGCAAAGATGATTATTTTGTAAAGTAGGGAACATTGCTTTCTTTAATTGGGAACAAAAGAACACCTTGTTGAGGAAAAAGTACTTCTGGTTCACCAAAATATCGCAGACACGTGTCCTCAGAAGACTTCCATGTTCAGAGCAACGACGTCGGTGCAGCTGGTTACATGGCTGAGGCGCCTGCGGGAAGAGGAGAGCAGGAAGCGCGGGTATCCTGGAGTTACATAACAGGGTTTTCAGAACTGGTATTTATGTAATCACGGACATGCACGTGAGCACACACAACACCCAGGAATATGTTAACACATCTTATGTACATATATATACATACAACACAGACACACTCCTGTCTCAGGAACGCAGATTGGACAGTTTTGAGCAGACGTTCTTTCTCCAAATGCTACCTTTTTCAACCTCAGCTTCAAAACGTACACCTTACTTACTCTAAAACTTTCATTCCAATTTTGATGGAAAAAAAACCCCCTGGAATCCTATTAAATTATATCAAGAAACAAAAGCTTGCCTAGGGGGTAAAGTACAATCTTTCAACTCTTAAAAAAAAGTGATATATATATATATATATATATATATAGTATAAAACTGAACAAGCATTAATTTTCTGCTGTCTTAGAATGGGGGTGGGGGGGAGAGAATCCTGAGTATGAGAAAGAGCTAAACTGGCTTTCATGTCCCATGAAAAGGGCTAGAGATGTAATAAATCCCCTCCTCCCAAACAATCTAAACATATACGCCACTTCCAAACCAAGGAAACCCATATGCCTTAAAGGTTATTCTCTCTGAGACCTTAGGAAAAGGAAGATGACAAGATACTGGCCCGGTTCTCTTTCACAGAAGGATGCCCTGCTCAGCAGAGCAAGGGCCCAGGCCTTGGGTTCCCTCCCACACTGGCAGCGGTGGGGGCTGTGGCTTCCGCCCCTTTAAGAATGCAGCATTTTGTGCCTTGGCTCTTGGTTGTGGGAGAAGATCCCTGTGTCAACTTGAACTCCCTGCCCTCTGTCTGGGTTGAGGACCCACACATTCCAGCCTCCCTGTGGCCTGGGCTCATAGGTTTTCCTTGAGCAGCCCCAGCTTGCGCAGTGCCTCCCGCCGAGCCTCCTCCGTGGAGCCGCGGCCTGAGAACTGCACGGTGATGCCCTGGGGTCGGAAGCCCACCGCCCTGGGGAGAGAGCCAGCCCGCTTCCTGGCATTCTGATTGCAGTCAGGTGGCTGTGGCTGGTACAGGCTCCGGCTGGCATTCTGGCGTGCCAGCTTGCTGGCCAGGGCAGGGTCAGGCCGGAAGGTGATGGTCTTCCCCGTGGGGATAAAGACGCTGGGCTCGCTTTTCAGTGCCTCGTGGATGCTCTGGAAGCCATTGGCCAGGAGCGGAGGCTGCTCGGTCTGCACAGCCCGGGACTGCTGACCACTGGCCGGCCCTCCTGCTTGGGGACCCTCGGCCTCCTTAGCCAGGCCCGGCCTGCTCTGATCGGGGCAGAAGTCCCTCTGCTCTGGGATATCACCTCTTGGAGGCCGGCCTTCCATGTCTCCCGAAGCCAGGAAGGAGACACCATTGATGTTGGCCAAGACCTGGGCCTTGCGCTCCTGCACGTTGACAGCGGCTTTGGAGATGGTCTTGTTGAAATCCTTCCCTGAGCTGTTGGTCACACTGATGTTGCTGGGGAAGCGGTGGATCTTGGGGGACGGCTGGGCTGTGTGTCTGTGCCACAAGGGGTGGTCCCCGTTTCGAGGGGCTGCAGATAGCAGAGTTCTCCACTCTCCGGGTCTTCCTTCCTTTGAGGGGGATGTGGGAGAGAGGGCATCACTTCCTGCCAGCTTCTCTGACATTTTCTGGGCAATCACCAGGGGTGTGGGGATGGATCGAAGCAGCTTTGGATGCTCTGAAGGAGGACCGGGGCTGAGCAGCTCCTTCCTGGGAGGTGCTGGCTCTGGGTCGCTGGGCAGGACGGGGGGCTGAGGAGGGGCCTCAGGGTCCCTGGAGTCTGGCAGTGGGGTATTCTCAGCATCTTCTTTCTTGCCTTCAAGGACAGGGACATCATCCTGCCCTGCAGATTCATTCCCTGAAAGACAAGGGAGAAAAATGCATTAGCTTCCACCTGTGCAAAAGTAAATGTGTGGCTGGGCGCCAGTGGCTCACATCTGGAATCCTAGCTGTTCAGGAAGCTGAGATCTGAGGATCATGGTTCAAAGCCTGCTCAGACAGCTAAGTCCATGGGACTTTGGTGGTTAATTATCTCTAATTAACCACCAAAAATCTGGAAGTGGAGCTGTGGCTCAAGTGATAGAGTGTTATACTGGAGCAAAAACAAAAAAAACCAAAAAAACAAAAAACAAAAAAAACCCAAGGGACAGTGAACAGGCCCTGAGTTTAAGTCCCAAGATTGGCACACACAAAAAAAGTAAATGTGTGACATTCCTGTCCACTGAACTCCACAGCGACTAGTATAACTGCCACCCTCCTGTCCCACTCCTAGGACTGGTGAAAGAAATCAGTTCATTGTTCCCATGGTCACAGGCTGATAACCAGCAGACCAACGATGGCAGAAGCTAGTGGAGTGCTTGCTACCACACTGGGGATGTACAGAAGGGACTGAAAAGTTAGAAAGTTATGTGCATACACCATCAACTCCAAAGAGCCCTGGAACAGGCGTGGGGAGCCTTTTATCTGCCAAGGTGCCAAGAGCCATTTGGATATTTGTCATCTCACTGGGGCCATACGGAATTATCATCACAGGCCAATGTGCAAGGACAGCCAATGAGAATCACACAAGAAGCACAGTGTCTGCTTCCCAGGGCCCAATGTTTCCCATACCTGACCCACAGGAAGGATTCAGGCTGTGCCAGTGGCCCAAAATGTACCACAGAAATACTCCTGACCAAGCCAGACACTGATGGCTCACGCCTGTAATCCTAGCTACTTAGGAGGCTGAGATCTGAGGATCATGGTTCAAAGCCAGCCTGGGCAGGAAAGTCTGTGAGACTCTTATCTCCAATAAACCACCAGAAAGCTGGAAGTGGTGTGGTGGCTCAAGTGGTAGAGCACTCTCCTTAAGCTGAAGAGCTGAAGGACAGCGCGTCCAGGCCCAGAGTTCTAGCCCCGCGACTGACAAAAAAAGAAAAAAAAGAAATACTCCTGACCAGCTCAGGTGGCATTCAGTGGCTTGCTTGGGACTCAATTCTGTTTCCCATTTCATTGCTTCTTCTCCATACCTGTCTCTGGCTTCAACCATAAGCCACATCCTTTTATCTTTATACCTGTGCAATGTCACACAGTGCTGGCCATAGAGAAACACTGGCAACAGCTATAAAAGTATCAAGTTAGAAAAATGGTGTTGCTGGGCGCTGGTGGCTCACACCTGTAATCCTCAGGAGGCTGAGATCTGAGGATCATGGTTCAAAGCCAGCCCAGGCAAGAAAGTCTCTAAGACTCTTATCTCCAATTAACAACCAGAAAACTGGAAGTGAAGCTGTGGCTCAAGTGGTAGACTGCTAGCCTTGAGCAAAAGAGCTCAGGGACAGTGCCCAGACCCTGAATTCAAGCCACACAACTCCCCCCCCCCAACAACAACAACAAAAACCAGTGGGTATGGGATATGTGCTTTCAAAAACTATTTTCTGGTCAGGTGTTGGTGGCTCATGCCTGTAATCCTAACTACTCAGGAGGATGAGGCCTAAGGATTGTGCGCTTCAAGGTCAGCTCAGGCAGGAAAAGTCTGAGACTCTTATCTCCAACAAACTACCAAAAAAAGCTGGAAGTGGAGCTGGGGCTCAAGTTGTAGAGTATTGGCCTTGTGAAAAAGCAAAGCTCGAGGACAACGCCCAGGACCCGAGTTCAAACCCCAGGATTGGCAAAAAACAAAAACTATCTTCTTTGGCTCAATTTTGCTATCTGATCTTTTTAAAGGATCAGCTCACTAGTTCTGATTTCTTTGAGGAACACCACTTCAAAGCAGAAACATTTTTGCATAAAAAATGCAAAATCCGCTTGTCACTTTTCTGAAGGGGTGACTGGAAAGCCAACTATTCTTCCCCACAACTGCAGCATGGAGGATTCTGAATGATCTACAGCCTGGCTTACAGCACCCACACATTCTTACAGGTTTACATCAGTAACAGTGGGTTATAATGAGCAGGGCCCAGGCATTTTCCTCTCGTTTCTTCCCTACCCTCCCAAGTACGCCCTGCCCCATTTGTTTTCACTGTCCTTTCAAATCACGAGGAAACAAGTGGATGGACTTTTGTCATTTCCCTCCAGTCCCACTCGGCGGCAGAGGCACCTGCTCCTTTGAGGCTGCTCAGAGTCAAGGCAAACTTAGGGTCAATGTGGGCCTGGGTTCTGTTCTGTTCTGTTCTATTCTTCTGAACTCGTTCACTTTCCTGATCAAATACTCCCACCTTGGAAAGGTGGGCTACAGAAATGGGGCTCATCTTGCAATGAAATATGGGTACTTTGTGTAGTTCCTTTGTGGGCCAGCATTACTTCCCAGAAGCCGCTTCATATACATGTGCATGAATATACCACTTCCGTTCACAAGCTCCGTGGCTCTTGTTCTTTGTTCCAGTCCTTTTGGCAGTTCCCTGGCTGGACGATCAACACTACTGCAGTGAAGCAGAGCAGCTGAGGCCGTGCCTTGTCCTGGTCGCAGCAACAAAAGAAAAGGGCTGGGGCTCTCACCTGCTGTATGGAGCACATCTGGAAGGCTCCCAGCTCCACCAGCTGTGGGTCCTGGCTGCACCAGGTCGATGACCTCTCCCGGCTCCCAGGGACTGGCAGGGCTCTCCTCCGGAGTGGGTGGGGAGTGGCAGCAACTGCCACCATCACCCAGTGCTGCATCCTCGAAGTCGTCTGCCAGGGAATCGAGAGTCTCCTCGAAGAACAGAATCACATCCTTCTCCTCGTGTGTGAGGTACTGCAGGCTTTCGTCATCCTGGAAGACACATCAGGAGATTGAGAATGGAAGCAACAAACCATCAGATAAAGCCCTGGCAAAGCAGGGGCCAATGTTCAGCCCAGAAGAAGCCACTGCGGCCTGCAAATTCCCCACCATTTGCACGGGCCACTGACAAATTGTCACCATTTTACCATCAAGGTAGGAAACATAAAACCTGCTTCTTGGTGTCAGTGGCTCACATCTGTAATCCTAGTTATGCAGGAGGCTGAGATCTGAGGATCACAGTGCAAAGCCAGCTTGGGTGAGACTCTTATCTCCAATTAGTCACCAAAAAGCCAGAAGGGAAGCTGTAGCTCAAGTGGTAGAGTGCTACCTTTGAGGGAGAAAGCTAAAGAACCCCACTCAGGCTTGGAGTTCAAGCCCCAGGCCTGGCACCAAATAATAATAATAAAAAAAGCATCATCTAGGGAAATGAATCCATTTGTATTCTCTCCCCTTTGCTCAGACTGACCTTGTACTGTGCTTTGGTAGGGTTATGTATGACACATGTGTGTGTATGTGTGCGTGCGAGCATGTGCACGTGCACTTATATATGTGTGCACTGGTACTACGACTTGAATTCAAGGCTTCAAGCTCTTAGCTTTTTCCTTCATGGTACTTTACTACTTGAGGCATGCTTCCAGCCTGACAGTTTGCTGTTTACCTGAAGATGGGAGTCTCCAACTTTTCTGCCTGGGCTGGCCCCAAACCTTGATCTGAGATCTCAGCCTCCTGAGTAGCTAGGATTACAGGCAAGCCACCGGCACTATGCATGACTCTTTTGGAGTCTGCTTTACTTCGGTCTAATTGTTTCCTTTGGCCTGAGGCTGGGCCTTGCTTCATAATAGGTTGCTTGCCTAGCTAGCACGCACAAGACCTTGGATTCCCTGCCCAATACCACTAACGTAAAATAAATAAAAGCATAATACTGGCCTAAAACAAACCTATGGCTCAAGACAGGCCATTTTCCCACGTTACAGGAGCGACAAAACAAGAATGGGCTATAAACCCAGGGCTAATCCAGCCTCAAAGCAGGCTGTCCCCATGTGAGATTTCATCTGGAAAATAGGCTTAGGAGGTGCCTCCCCATGCCTGCCATGCCCGGGTGCTGTGGCGCAGTACTCCCAGCTCTTGGGTGAGTGGGCCAGCCCGCCCTGAGGTTGGGAAGGTGGGTGCAAAGGCGCCAGGACTTCCCAAGAGCCTCTCAGTGAGAACACAGGGTCCAGCTGCTTCTGTCCGCTCCATCCCCCTTTCTAATCATAGGCTGCTCTGTACCCACAGAACCTGCGTGGACACATGCTCAGCCTCATTCACGTAATCCGGTGCATTCACCACAGCTCTCCCCCACCTCGCCTCCACTATTCACACAACCCGCCTTCAGGCAGCCTAGTCCACGCCTCCCCGACTCTGTCAGTCCTCCACTGGGGGGCCGTAGTGTGGGCCGTGGGACTGGAATGTATTCCCAGGTACCTGTTTCTTTGTAGCCAGCCTGGACTGGAGCCCTGCTCTCTGGAGACAAGGCCAAAAATGCTGCAGGCCCAGGCTGTTGCTTAATCCCTGACTCCCGGCTGGCCTCCCAATGACCCTGGGCACTGTGTGCCCAGGACAGGAAAGAAGACAGAGCAAAAGCCCAGGCCGCGGGCAGAGGGGGCGGGGTGCGCCAGGCTAGGAGAGGGGTGCCTGGCTCTCGGCCAAGAGTTCTCGCCTACTTCCCATCAAAGGATGCCTGATGCTGCTCTGAATGTGCATGGCCTGTTTGGGGGTGACCAAGGATCAAGAGGGACTGCAGTGACCGGAGGCATGTCTCGAGAGCCAGCGGATTTAGGGGTTCCCTTCAGAAGAATGGGAATGCTCTAAAACCAACTGTGGTAATGGTTGTAGCACAATGGAAATGTGCACAGCCATTCAATCATTTATTCTTTTTATAACTTGATTTTAATTAATAAAGACATAAAATGGTGAACATTCAGAAGTTTCTATCATGTACATATTACTCAAATGAGATCAAATATGGAACAGTTCCTTGTGGTGAAAATGGACCAACTCCTGCCTTTTGGCTGTGAAATGCACAGCACACAATTATCATCTGTAGTCACCATCCGAGGCAACAGCACGCCAGGACTTCACGATCCTTTAGTGACCACTGACCCATCTTTGTAGTCTCTCCTCCTCATACCTTCCCCAGCCTTCCACTTTAAAGAGTCTGGTCTGAGTGAGATCACGGGATACATGTCTTTCTGTGCCTGGCTAATGTCACCAAACGTAATGACCCCCCTCCAATTCTATGCATGTGGTTGCAAATGACAGGATTCATTCTTTCTTATGGCTGAATCGTACAGTGTGCAGGTACCCATTTATTCCTTGCCCATTGATTAGATGATGGTTGTTCCCATTTGTTTCTTTTTTGCTTTTTGTTTCTGTTTGTTTGTTTGGAGATGGGGTCTTGCTGTGTAGTTGGCAGTGAACTAATGATTCTCCTGTCTCTGACTTAGGGGTGCTAGGTCTCCAGGGGGGCTCCATCACACTTACCTCATCAATTTCTTACTTTTTGTGACTTGTACTGTAATAGACATGGGAGTATAGATGTCCCTTGGATATGCTAATGTCATTTCCCTCATACCCAGGAATGAGTGGGATTGCTGGATCAGACGAAGTTTGTTGTTTTTGTTTTGTTTTTGCCAGTCCTGGGCCTTGAACTCAGGGCCTGGGTACTATCTGTGAGGGGCTTTTGCTCAAGGCTAGCACTCTACCACTTGAGCCATACCACCACTTCTGGCTTTTTCTGTTTATGTGGTACTAAGGAATCGAACCCAGGGCTTCATGCATGCAAAGCAAGCACTGTACCATCAAGCCACCTTCCCAGCCCTGAAGTTCAATTTTTAGTGTTGACAGGAATCTTCATACTGCGTTTTGTATTGGCTGTGCTAATTTCCATCCTTACCAACAGTGTGTGAGGGCTCCCTCTCCTCCACCTCCTTGCCAGCCTTTGAAGTCTCCAGTCTCATTCTGATTGGGGTGAGGCAGTGTCTCATTGTGGTTTGGATTTCCCTGGTGATTGATGTTGAATGTTTCACACTTGTGGGCCATTTGTATGTTTGCTTTTGAGAACTGTCTATTTAAGGTCTATTGCCTTTTAAATTTTTTTTTGGCCAGATTATTTTCTTTTTCCTATTGAAATTTTGGAGTTCCTTATATAGTCTGGATATTAACTCCTTATCACATATATACTTTACAAAACTTTTCTCCCTCTCTCTAGGTTGTCTCTGCTCTGTTACTTCCTTTGCTTTATGGTTTGAAGTAGTCCCATTTGTCCAGTTTTGCTTTTGCTTCTTGTGCTTTTTTAAAAAAGTCTTATCCAACACCCCCACCTCCTCATAAACACACCTATTGCAATGTCCTGATGTATTTTACTTATGGGTTCTTCCAGAAGTTTCAGTTTCAGGTCTTGTATTTAAGTGTTTAACTCATTTTGAACTGGATGTGGTGGTATGCCTATAATCCTAGCACAAAGGAGACAGAGGCAAGAAGATTGTGAGTTTGAGGCCAGCCTGGATTATGTAGATTCTGTGTGTATAGACTCTGTGTGTGTGTGTGTATGTGTGTGTGTGTGTGTGTGTGTGTGTGTGTGTGTGAGAGAGAGCACTGGTACTAGGACTTAAACCAAGGGCCTGGGCACTGTCACTTAGCTTGTCTACTCAAGGCTAGTAGCAACCTCAGATCACAACCTCCTAAGTAGCTAGGATTATAAGTGGGAGCCACCAGCACTTGGCATGTATCTTGTCTTAAGAAACAAATAGCTGGGTGCCGGTGGCTCATGCCATAATCCTAGCTACTAAGGAGGCTGAGATCTAAGGATTGTGGTTCAAAGCCTGCCCAGGTAGGAAAGTCTGTGAGTAGTGCTGTAGCTCAGGTGGTAGAGCGCTAGCCTTGAGTTGAAGAGCTGAGGGACAGTGCCCAGGCCCAGAGTTCAAGCCCCAGTTCCAGCATAAAAACAACAACAACAACAAAAATGTACTATAATAACCCCTTAAAAACCTTAAAAAACAAAACAAACAAAACCAACTCTTGCTCCCATAGTTCTTTGGCTGTCCTTTCATTTTTATTCCAAAACAAGATACTGAATTATGTAGACTGAAACAATTTAGCAACTTCTTGCGAAGGATCTGACAATGGAGTTGAACCTACACATATGAAGACCAAAATTATTAAAACAATGCTGCTGGCTGAGGACAGGCCAGCATCCAGAGCCCGGGCAGGCACGCCACTCAGGTGGGCCGCACGGGTTGTCTGTCTTAACTCTGATCCAATGCTTACTCCTTCTTTCTGTATAGATACCAGAATGATTTCCCTAACACGTGAACAAAGGTTTTACAGGTTTGATCATCTCAGCTGAAGAGAGGCCACAGAAGCTAGAATGGACCAAAGGCAGGGAGAAGATACAATGGGCCCTCTTCTCACATCGCCTTTATACTGGGCTTACTTGGGCTCACCCAGAAGAGACCATAAGCATGCATGACCTTTGCTTGCTTTAGATCAAGGGTTGAATTGTGGTTATTTCTAACTACACATTGCTGTCATTTTTTTTTTTTTTATTTACTGTGGCTAACTTCAACATGTATTTCTGGCAGGAAAAGGAAGTAAACAAATCAGAGAGGAATGATAATGAGGATGGTTTTAATTATAGAACTGAAGGAGGATTAGTAGTGGGCTCCCTGGCTGCCTCCAAGTTCTCAAAGCTGGCAAGGCCAAGGTCTACCTCAACTGCTCTCCATCCACAGTGCTTATAGGAGCTCTTGCCTGAGACAGATGCACACGAGAGCAGGGGCGTTCCACATGTTCTGAGCCCCTTAAGTCACACTGTCTTTACACACTCTGTCTTGAGGCCATATTATGTGTTACTAACCAGTTCTTGTACACAAGGGGCCTTCATCGATGTCTGCTGAACTGAGGACAAGCTATGTGGCCATGTCTTAGTGTACATGCTTTGCCCAGGGTGGCTCAGGGGTCGCTGTGGCTAGAAGCCAGGGCTGACAGGTGTAGGGACCTGCGCTCCTTCCTCACTTCTCTGGTGTTTCTTCTGGAAATCTCACAACACATATCCAGGACACCACCTGGTCTTCACTACCCGCTGCTTGCTGTACATCCTCATTCTATGACCAATGGGCAGGGCCAAGAGACATCCGATGCTTTGGAGAAGGAAGGGATTAGCTCAAAAGCTGACATCTATCTGACTACAGACACATCCTGGGATTTGAGAGCCACAGCAATCATTAGCTGGGGGTTGGGGGGGGGGGGGGAGAGGTTTAAGATAGTTCGTCAAACTGGGCACCAGTGGCTCATACCTATCATCCTAGCTAATCAGGAGGCTAAGATTGGAGGCTCCTGGTTCAAAACCAACCCAGGAAGACAAATTGAAGAGTTTCAGATTTGTCTAATTAACCAGCAAAAAGCCAGAAGAGGAGGCGTGGCTCAAGAGGTAGAGCACCAGCCTTGAACAAAAAAAATTAAGTAAGAGTGTGAGGAGGGGTTGGGGATTTAACTCAGTGGAAGAGCACTTGCCTGGAAGTGCAAGGCCCTGAGTTAGGTCCTCAGCTCTGGGGGTGGGGGGTGGCTGGGGGGAGGGGGGAAAACATGTGAGGAGCTGGGTGTTGGTGGCTCATGTCTGTAACCCTAACAACTCAGGAGGATCCAAGGAGCACAGTTCAAAGCCAAAGGAAAGTTTGTTGAATCTCTTACCTCTAATCAACCACCAGCCTTGGGCACAAAAGCTCAGGGGCATTGCAGGCTCCAATGGCTCAAGCCTGTAATCCTAGCTACTCAGAAGGCTGAAATCTGAGGATCATGGTTCAAAGCCAGCCTGGGCAGGAAAGTCCGTGAGACTTTCATCCCCGATTAACCACCAGAAAAACGGAAGTGGCGCTGTGGCTCAAGTGGTAGAGTGCTTGCCTTGAGCTGAAGAAATCAGGACAGCACCCAGGCCCAGAGTTCAAGCCCCCTGACCGATGCAGAGGAAAAGAGTGTGAGACCCTGAGTTCAAGCCCCCATACAGGTATACAAACACACACACACACACACACACACACACACACACACACACACACACACACACACACACTAGCTCATTAAGTACTGAATCTCACTGACAAGCACCCCAGTGGGTTTGGATGGTTGTTTCTGGCCAAGTCAGAGATCCTATGAACAGAAGGTATGCTGGAATGTTCCCATCCTACCTTTAAAGGGGTGCACATAGCGTGACATGCTTTAAGAATAACTATGGAGTGGTGAATGCATGAAGGGATTCTGCCTCTTTCTAGCCAAGTGAATGCTGGAATGTTGTACAGGAAGCACCCACTGTGCCTTGGGGCAGAACAGGCTTCAGGAATGCGTTCAGTCAGATCCCGAGACACTGGCACCAAGTGACATTCTGTCCCTGGTGGTGACATTCTGGGTGGTTTGTGAAATGGCACAAATATTTAGACACCTGTGTCCAGAGGTTAAGCAAACAGGTAACCCAATATCCCGAGCTCCCTTGAGCAGCACTGAAAGGCCCCGTGTGTGACCGTCTCTAAACCCTCAGAGCCCCTCGTAAGGCAGCCACTTCCCCAGCTTTCGTAAAGAAAGCCTACCTGTGTCTGGATTAGAACTACCTCTCTTCACTTTAATACATAGTCACGTATTCAAGGATTTGGCAGTTGAGTCCAAATTCTATTTACTGCTTTCTAGAAAATGCTCAGAGGAAGAAATCCTTATGAGGAAAAAAAACCCAAACAAATGCAGCAGTGATACTCACTAGACACTCTGTTGAAAATGAACTATAAAACTTGAGGGTGGGGATGGGAGGAGAAAAACTAGGTGAGAGCCAAAGAAGAGGTGAAAATGTCCAAAAAGAAATGTCATGGCCGGGCACCAATGGCTCACGCCTATAATCCTAGCTACTCATAGGAGGCTGAGATCTGAGGATCACAGGAAAAAAAATCCATGAGACTTTATCCCTAATTAACTACCAGAAAACTGGAAGTGGTGCTGTGGCTCAAGTGGTAGAGTGCTCACCTTGAGCTGAAGAGCTCAGGAACAGTACCCAGGCCCAGAGTTCAAGCCCCATGACTGACAAAAAAAAAAAAGAAGAAGAAATTACCTGACTTCTGAAACTGCAATCCCTCTGTACATCACCTTTAGAATAACAAGTTAAAAATATATGTATTTAAACAACCCTGCTCCCCTCCACACACTAGTCCTTTTAGAGAAATAGGACTGTGCACATGGCCCTGTGAGGGCAGTCTGAGTCAGAATGGTGGCCACAGGGAGCTCAGTGGCTGGTGGAGCCTCCGGGCAACAGGCCTTGGGGTGGCCTTCTGCCCTCAGCCCAGTTCGTGATCAAAGACAAACAAGTTAGACAACTACTGATAAGAGGACTCCTGTGGAAACTGAAGCGGGCAGTGGCAGTGAAGGCACTAAGTTCAGCTTGGAAGCCAATAGGACTCTGGGAAGGGAGAGGCAGGTGGGAAGTCCCAGTGTAGCCCCGATGGAGGCTCCTCTGCCCCTCCCCCCTTCTTCTACTTCAGAAACTAAAACTCAGTCACGATGAGCTCCTGCAGGGTGAGGTCAGCTGCGCGCCCGCAGGTGAGGCTCACACCTCTGTGGTTATGAGTATTGTGAATCTCTCATCTTCAGATACTGCCTGGTACTAAAGAAGAAAGCAACTGAAGATAGGCAAGGACTTGTTTTAGAATTTATAGAGAAATCAGTCGGGCGGCTGAGATCTCAGGATCGCAGTTCGAAGTCATCCCAGGCAGGAGAGTTCCCTAAGACTCTTATCTCCACTAAACTACCAAGAAAGCCTGAATTGGAGCTCTGGCTCAAGTAGTAGAGTATAAGCCTTGAGTTAAATTGCTTAGGGATGGCGCCCAGGCCCTGAGTTCAAGCACCAGGACCAGCACACACGTGCACACAAAAGAAATTTATAGAGAAATTACTGATATGTTAGAAGGCCCCTCTGGATGCTACCTTTAACCCTCTGTAGTCTGAACACCACAGGTCTTCTAGGGCATACAGTCATGGGCAGCCAGGCTCAGCCTAGGTTCTGAGCCACCCAGAGTTCCTGGTTCAGCTGGAGGTTTGCTCCAGCGCTGTGGGAATGCTCTGGGCTTATGCAGAGAACACTACAGGGAAGAAACGCAAAACGGCTTTTCACAGAGAAAATATTCTACCACATCCAGCCGGCTGCCTCTCCTTAAAGCTACTCCTTAAAGGGCAGACAGGTTAGGGCAAAGGCTTGGAAACCCCCACTCACCAGAGAGAAACTTCTGGACTGAGCACGGCTGCGGCTCTCCACACTGCCACCTCTGCTCACATCACCAAGTCTGCAGCTGGGCGACATGTCAGCGTCCATCTCCGAGGAGCCGGATTTCTGGTGGTTTACAGGCATCCCGACGGAAGCTCGGCGAGGCCGGATCACAGCGGGTGGGGTAGGGGCTGGTCTCCCATTCTGAGCTTCTGAGGCACAGAAGTACTTCTAGAGAAATCGAGACAGAACAGCATCGGTCCCTGAGCCAAGGCAGGACAGTCCCTAGTCCTCAAAACCAGAAGGTCCGATGTATGGGGGGCTGTCAAGTCAGCTGGCTAGGGGATGCTGATTTCTACCTCTCCTTCCGTCACCACCCATTCTGAAGATGTGAGAGGAATTACATTTTCCTGTTGCAGTCCTGGGGTTTGAGCTCAGGGACTGGGTGGTGTCTGAGGTGTTTGTTGTTGCTGCTGCTGTTGTTGTTCGAGGCTAGCTAGAATTCTACCACTTGAGCCACACCTCCACTTCTGGACATTTCTGGTGCCTAAGTAGAGAAAAGAGTCTCACAGACTTTTTGGCCTGGGCTGGCTTTGAACCATGATCCTTAAATCTTAGCCTCCTGAGTAGCCAGGATAACAGGTGTGAGCAACTGATACCAGACATAATTTTTTTTTTTGCTAGTCATGGGGCCTGAACTCTGGGCCTGGGCGCTGTCCCTCAGCTCTTCAGCTCAAGGCTAGCACTCTACCACTTGAGCCACAGCACTACTTCCGGCCTTTTCTGCTTATGTGGTGCTGAGGAATCGAACCCAGGGACTCATGCATGCAAGGCAAGCACTCTATCACAGAGCCAGCTTCCAAGCCCCATAAAAGAAATTTTTAAGGAAAGATGAACACATTACAAATGACTTACAATGTTCCAGCCTTGAGCTCTTGCTTGCCTTTCACTCATGGCTGACCAATGAGCCATGTGGTAGAGTCGGACTCTACCTTTGAGCTATGCGTCTACTTTTTGCTTTTTTGCTAGTTAACTGGAGATTAAGAGTCAAATGAATGTGCCTGCTTGAGCTAGCTCAGAACCATGATTCTTAGATCTCAGCTTTTTGAGTAGCTGGGATTATAGGCCTGGCTCTTAGCTAGAAATTCAGCTCAGCTCCTGAACAATTGAATATGACAAAATGTTCTAGATCATCAAAAAAGACTAATAGGAATAGACTTCCTAATGATCAATACATGCATTTGTGGAAAAAGTCCAATCAGTACTGAACCCCTTTTGAGGGACCTTGTTATTAAAGAGTTCAAAAATCATTATGAAAACCTTCTTAGAGAAATCTTGTAGCCATCTCTGTAAAAAAAAAAAAAAAAGACTTTAAAATATTGTTTACTCCATTTCTCTTGTAGGAGAATCAGTTCAAGGAATGAGAAGGTTCTGAGCATTTATTCTTTTGCTAAATTATTATTCCAAAGAGTAAAAACAATTTTGAAAAAGATTGAAAAATGTTGTATTAAAATGCATTCAATAATCTGAGAGCCTCCACAATAATACAGAGTTCCTATAAAAATCTAAATAGCTAAGAGTGTGCTACTCTGCAATGTAGCAGTCAATGTAAATCTCTACTGTATTCAGTCCAACAGAGCTAAAGCCTGGCACGAATCTTGCAGAAAGGCTTTGTGACACAGCTGGTGTGGGGCTAAGTGGGACAGGGCCTGCTGATTGGCTGGAGAAGCTCGTGTAGGTGGGGCAGGCTCTGTGAAGGCCCAGGTCAGGGCAGAGTGGGCAATACTTGGAGGGTGGGAATGGGCAAGAGTCTCCTTTTTTCCTGTGCTGCTGCTATCACTTTCCAAGCTGCAAAACTGTAACATCTAGACTTTCTGTGAAGCCATTTTCTTGAAAGGGTTTGAGGAAACATAAAGCAGAGGGCAGGGGTGGTAGGAAAGAAAGCACAAACCTTGATTTTATATCCACCACAGCCAACAAGAATCAATCATCTCTGATCTCCCGAGAATTTGTGGTTCTCTAGGAAAACAGACTTCCAGAAGAGGCCCACTGTGGACAGCAAGTCTCCGGAAGGGGAGGGCAGGGAGGCAGCCTTCTGCGCTGGCCTGCCCTGGGAGGGACCCAGAGTCAGCAAGGCCTGAGCCCAGGGGACAGCCTGGCCATGCGTCGGTGAGGGTCATAACCGCGTTACAATCTCCACATGTGCCATCAACCCAGGGTTTGTTGTTTGGGTTTGTAAACAGTACACATTATAAAACACAAGTGAGGCCAGAGCAAGGGCAGGCCCCGCGGACCAGGGCGAACCTGACTCTTCCCAGGAGACTGAGCAAGCCCCGTGGAATAACCCAACGAGGTGTGGACCGTAGGCGCAGAGAAATCCAGCCACAAGGGCCCATTTTCTTTTCCATTTCCTCTGTTTGTGTTTCAGTGTTTATTGGAAACTTCCTTTAAAATTTTTTTTTGGCAAAGTCTATTTTATCCTTTGAGCAAAGAAAATAATGAGGTCAAGATCCCTAAGAGGTCACCAAATCCTACGGAGCTGCCTGGCTGGGTGAGGCAGGAGGGGCATCTGCAGAGAAGGTCCCAGGAGATATGGGGGCTGTGTTCCTGGGCCCAGTGAACCCCAACATGAGTGCACTGGAGTGAGAAGAGAAAAGCAGCTTCTGCTCGTCTTCTCCTGGACTTTCCAGAAAGACCTAGCATGGCCTAGCTGGTGTGCACACAGCCGCCCACATCATTTTAGTGCTACATAGACAGAATCAGGTAGGCAGGCAGCCCAAGTACTTGGTCTTTATGCATTGACAGCTCTGGGTGTGCAAATCCCACAGCTGATCCACACACAAGCATCGCAGGCCACAGAGACTCCTTCTTCTTCCTGTCATCTCAGCCAAACACCAGCCCTGCTCTCCCTCTCAGGACCAGAGACCACCCCCCCCCTCTTTTTTCTGCCAAGGGCTATCTGGGTATTTATGACATTACGAGCCATACAAAATTACCAATACAGCTGAGTGCTGGCGGCTCACAACTGTAAACCCAGCTACTCAGGAGTCTGAGATCTGAGGATGAGGGCTTGAAGCCTGCCAGGGCAGCAAAGTTCAAGAGACTCTCTTATCTCCAGTTAACCACCCAAAAAGCTGGAAATGGAGCTCTGGCCAAAGTGGTAGAGTGATAAACCTTAAGCACAAAAGCTGGGACAGGGCCCAGGCCCTGAATTCAAACCCCAGGACCAGTGTGCGCGCGCACACACGCACACGCACACGCACACACACACACACACACACACACACACACACACACACATCAATACAGCCAGCCAGCCAGCCATGGGCAGCCACAGCAAACACAAGGTGTGTATTTGTCTGTTTAACAATGTACCAAATGATTTTTTGCCAACCTTATATGGCTCATGGGCCGGTCACCTCTCATGCCTAGCCAGTGAATTTGGACTTTAATTGTATATGCTTCCTTCCTGGTACCCCCACCCCACCCCCAAAATAGAGCAAGGTGACAAATGCCTGTCACTGCCATGGCACCTCTCTATTCTGGCTTTCCTCTCTTCCTACACTTTTTTTTTTTTGGGTCCGGTCGTGGGGTCTGAACTCTGGGCCTGGGCGCTGTCCCTCAGCTCTTCAGCTCATGGCTAGTGCTCTACTACTTGAGCCACAGCGCCACTTTTGGCTTTTTTTTCTTTTTGCTTATGTGGTGCTGAGGAATCGAACCCAGGGCCTCATGCATGCAAGGCAAGCGCTCTACTACTGAGCCACTTTCCCACACTTCCTACACTTTTGTTGGGAGTCTCTGGCTGGATTCATCTTGCCACGTGGCTTTGATGTCACCAATTTAAAGCAGTGAGCTTGAACTCACCCACAGGCTTTAGTCATGGAACTGGAATCACCCATTAAAATAGAAAGAAGATGCTAGAAGAATGCTCAAGGTTAAGGTTATTTTCATAGGACTGACTTCTTTCTTCCAGCAGCAGGGAAGCAAGCAGACTAGCTGCACTGTGCTAAGAACTTAACCCGACCTCCGACCTCCGATTTCCAGCCTCTGCTCCTCTGTGTGCTATGGAAATCTGTCTCCAAAGACAGTTAAGAGGGTGAAGGATATACACTACCCTGTATCTTGTATCAAGATGGCGTAAGGGGACCTGCTGGAAACTTACAGAGCATGGGGTGGGGGTGGGGGAGGATGAGTAAATGGAGCAGGAAAGTCTGATGAATGTAACAGATACAAGTGTGAAATAGCACAATCAATCAACAGACGCCTAACAAAACAGAACGATGAGGATGTAAAGCAGGCCTGGCTTGGGGGGCTGGGGGGAGCAGGGGCAATTGGAGGGGTAGAGGAGGGCAAATATAGCTTGAGTCCTTCATATGCATTTATGAAAACAGAACAATGAAACCTGTTGACATTGTTTTCAGAAGGGGAGGAAGAGGAGGAGGGAGAGTAACGGAGGATGAATTTGATCAGGGAACACTGGAAACTAAAACACAGATATGGCAGAATGAAATCCCTTTTTCAGCCAACAGAGGCTAATAAAAATTTAAAAAGAAAGTATATAGCAGGATGCCTGTGGCTCATGCCTGTAATCCTAGCTACTCAGGAGGCTGAGATCTGAAGATCATAGTTTGAAGCCAGCCTGGGCAGGAAAGTCCGTGAGACTCTTATCTCCAATAAAACTACTCAGAAAGTTTGGAAGTGATGCTGTGGCTCAAGTGGTAGAACGCTAGCTATGAGCAAAAGCAGCTCAGGAACAGGCTCCCCCCTTCTATACATACATACATACATATAATATATATATATACATATATATATATGTATATATATACATTTCATTTTGTTTTTGTTTTTGTTTTTTTTTTTTTGCTGGCCATGGGGCTTGAACTAAGGACCTGGGCACTGTCCCTAAGCTTTTCTGCTCAAGACTAGTACTCAAACCACTTTGAGCCACAGCTCTACTTCTGTTTTTCTGGTGGTTAACTGGAGGTAAATCTCACAGACTTTCCTGCCCAGGCTGGCTTCATACCACAAACCTCAGATCTCAGGCTCCAGAGTATCAGCTAGGATTACAGGCATGAGCCACTAGAGCAAGGCTAAGAAAGTGTGGTTTCAAGAACAAGGGCTAAATAGCTTCTAGAAGTCCTATTTCATCTGAAACCAAGTTAGGTTAAAAAGAAATATATACACACAAACATATATGCATATATATATATATATATATATACACAAAT